GTGCCACCACACCTTGAATTCATAGATGTCTTCCTGCCCCTGTCTCCCAAGTGTTGGGATTAAAAGTGTCTACCACCACCCCCAATTACTCTCTTCATTTCTCTTTTATTTTAAGGGCTTAACCTTTTTTCTTTTCTCTCCCAAGTCTACATATATTTTTAACATACTGTAAACCATTTAGAGGTTGGCTTCATCTTTGAATCTCCATTTATTGTATATCTCTCTTTTTCTGACCACATAAGTATTTAATTTGCTAGGCAATATGGCTAGAATTAAAGTCTTGACTTTGATGACTGTATCTAGGCCATTCCTTAGTTTTCTGAGATTCCAGACTCATGGTAAAGTACTGACTGGAGTCAAGTTTATTGTCATAGTTCTATGGCATTTCAATGTCCCTGCCACCACCAAAAAGCATGTGGTCAACTTTTCATAAACATCATTTAAGTGTTTCATGGCAGAACCTCTTAAAAGAGCTACAGGGTACTACAGCTAATGCTGAGTTAAGAAGCCTTTTTTTATTTTTTTATTTTTTTCAAAGTTTATTAAAATATAAAAGTTTCCATTTTCGCCCCTCCTCCCAACACCCTCCCACTCCCCCCACTCCCACTTCTCTTCCCTCTCCATCCCTAAGAGCAGTCAGGGTTTCCTGCCCTGTGGGTAGTTCAAGTTCCTCCCCGCTCCCTCCAGGACCAGGAAAGTGAGTATCCAATCAGACTGGATCCCCAAAAATCCAGAATATGCAGAGGAAACAAGTCCCAGAGTCATTGTCAATGGCTTTTTAGAAAGACTTCGAGCCAGCCACATTCAAAGAATCCAGAGACCCACATTGGAGCACCGGACTGAGGCCCCCAAGGTCCAAAGGAGGAGCAGAAGGAGGAAGAACATGAAAAAGCAAATCAGAACCACAAGGGGAGCGATCACCCACTGATACAAGGCGACTGATCTAATGAGAGTTCACCAAGGCCAGTTGATTGGGACTGAAGGAGCGCTTGATCCAACCAGATTCTCTGGAAGAAGCCTCTTTTAAATGAAAGTGCGTGCCTCTAGCAAGCAGAGTGCATCTGAGAAAGTGCTGCTATCAACAAACTATATTTTATTCTTTTCTGTCTAGAATTATTCTCCAACTTCTCTCAGGCTTTATGTGGATGCAGTTGTCCTCACATTGGGCACCATTCTGTTAACTGATGTTTTCTTTCCCACCAGGTCCCACAGCTATTTAGCCCTAAAGAAATCACACAGAGCTATTAACGGATTGGTCCATTAGCTTGGGTTTTTTATTTATTCTTATAACTTATACTAGCCAATAATTCTTGTCTATGTTAGCCACATGGCTTGGTACTTTATTCGGTGAGTCAGTCACATCTTGCTTTTTCTGTGGCTGGGTCAGTACTGCAGAAAGATCTTTCCTCTTTCCAGAATTCTCCTGTTATCATCACCCCACCTCTATTTTCTGCTGGTTGTCCCACCTATATTCCTGCCTGGCTACTCATATTTCCAGGCTGTGCTAGGCTCTGCATGGCAGATTTAGGTATTACTCAGAAAAAAAGGGTTTATGTGCTACATGTTATTCTCAGAGTTAAAGTGCTAAGTGCAGCTCCTACCTGGTGGCCCCAGAGCTAGCAGAAATGATACCTCCACCATTTTGTAATTAGGCAGAGGTAGAGGCAGAATCCAAAGACGCTTCAACAAAGCTGCTTAGCATTTTAAAGGCTCTTCAAGTCAATAAAAATTACAGATAACACAATCAGGACAGATTCAGACATAACAGAATTCTAAAAGGGACACAGTGTTAGATAAATGTAGGTAGGCTTGGGAGAAAGAAGAAAACGATTATAGAGAGTTAGAAAAGAAGCAAATCATTTTTTAAAAAAGACTTTAAAAGAGACAGAGTACAGATAGTCATAGATTAAAAGGAGTAAATAAAAATAATCCATGTAAAGATGGACTATACACACAGAGTCTTATAACTTATAATAGCCAATAATTCTTGTCTATGTTAGCCACATGGCTTGGTACTTTATTTAGTGAGTCATTCACATCTTGCATTTTCTGTGGCTGGGTCAGTACTGCAGAAAGATCTTTTTTTTTAAACTTTCATCTCTGAAGGAGCTAGGCACAGAGAAATATTTCATTTTATGGACTGCTAAGCTAAACCAACGTGTATATTATAAAGGTATCCTGATTTTCAAATTGGGTCTAAGGATATGGTGCTTTTGAAAAGAGGTTCTTCTTTTGTCTCCACAGGGAATGAGAACCTGTGGATTCATTCCAGGCTAACATAATATGATGGACTGAGTCCCTCTGAAGGGTTGTAGAAAGCACCCCCACAAAGCAAATACTTTGCTCAACTGCTGACTGAGATGAACCTAGCACACAGGATATACCATACAAGACCTGATTAACAGTGCCCCAAACAGCAGGAAGTAGTATGGACAAAACTATGCCCATATTGCTTATAAGTGTTTCTTTACATTTAAAGGGGGATATGGTATAGAGATTTGCATTGGTATGAATCTTGGTTTATTGATACAAATTTAAGGTCAATTTTGTAATATGTATATGTATTTCTGATTTTGATTAATGTATTGTATTTGTGTAGTTCATTTAAAAATGTAACGTATAATTATGAAATGTAGATTAATAGAGAATCATCTATAATAGACAAACTTATAGTCACTTTAGTTAGATTTTCTAGATGTATAGAGATACATTTCAGTTAGATATATATTCTTCAAATTTTTCAGAGACCTTCAGAACACGACATTTAAAATGTTTAAGAATTCATGACTTTTCATGACAATGAGAAACCTTTGCTCCTGGCAGCACAAATCTACTTCAAGAGGAAGATTGGCATCTAAGAGGCTCCTTATGGAGTTTGTTAGCCATTTGGGCAAGAGACTGTTCTTGCCTGGACTGTTGCATAAACTGGAGATACAGAACCCACAGAGCAATGACTGTTGAACTGGCCTAAAGGTGAGACAATCCTTCAGGGTTCCTGCTTCATGAAAGTGTCTGTGAGACATTCTGCAGGACTGGCAAACTACCAATATAGGCAGACCTGTCTTTGAAATTTCCTGCTTCATGGAAAAGTCTTCTGGATACTGTAGGCCTGTAGGCTGAAGATGGATGCTCCAATGCTACAGAAGAACTTTGGGTGACTGTCCAGGTAGAAAGATGTCTCTTTCTATTCTAGAGCTTTGGAAGTTGTTCATAATGCACTTTCTGTTTACTTAGGCAATATATATGCTTCTGGAGTCATTGATAGATTTGAAGAATAGATAGTAAGTTGTAGTTATATTTTTTCTTAATTATGGAAAAAGATAAAGTAAATAGACATATTGTAACTGTAATTCTTTCTTGATACTTGTTTTGTTATATGTAATTATACTATGTTAAATCCTTCCTTTTTATTTAAACAGAAAAGAGGAAATGGTGAGGGAGTTCCTTCTGTCCAAGTGTTGCTTCTATTGGTTAGTAAATAAAGAAACTGTCTTGGCCTGATAGGGCAGAACTTAGGTAATCAGGGAAAACTAGGCTGTATGCTGGAATGAAAGAGGGTAGAGTCAGAACCACCATGGAGCTGCTTGAGACAGATGCTGGTTGGAACTGTAACTGGTAAGCCACTGCAATATACAGATGAATAGGAATGGGTTAAATAGTGATGTAAGAATTAGACAATGGGTCAAGCAGTGTTTTAATTAATACATTTTCTGTGTGATTATTTTGGTTCTGGGTTGCTGGGGCAAAAAAGCAGGCCCTCTCTTTACAACATATACACAAGGCATTTACATTTATATTTTGGGGCATGGTATCTCCCTTGTTCCAGGTAACAAAACAAATTTTAAAAGAATGATAAAATGATCAAGTATCTCTTCTTGCAACTGTAGGTGAATGTCACAATGACTAGGAGAAAAATGTACATTACAGAATATTGAAATTAATGTGCAAAGCAATCTATATTTAATGAACTATAGTAAGGTTCATTTTTTTAATCTGGCTTGGAGGCAACTAAGTACACTCATTTGTTTCTTCTAAAAATAACTGGAAATATATGTTTATTTATAATGTAATTAAAAATTCTTTGTTCCTTGATTAACAACTGAAGATGAAAAATAAAACTGTTTGGATGGAAGAATAAATGTTATCACTACTAGAAGATTTAGCATTAGATATATACTATTTTTTTATTCACAGATCATGAGTGAACCTTTAAAGAAACACCTGTATCCTTAAAATGAAGATATATTACTGAAGGATATATACTGAATAATTTAATTCAATGAGATTGGACAATGAAAAAATACATAAACTTAATTGACAAAGGAAGGCTAGGGGTTGTCTGATATGCATTATTAAGAAAATTTGATCCAAAAAAGCATTTAAATGTTATGAAAGCTATATGGTGTATAAAGTATTGTCTCTAATTGTTCTTTTGTGAATTTCTTGGTGAATGTATAGTATGTATGACTATGTATGGCAATACTTATTGTATCTATTTATTTTTGGAATACATTAGTTACTTAACTGAGTCACCTGTCATCAGAAGTCTATGTTCTAATACTGAATAAGAGTACATTCAATAATATGAAGAGAAATTTGAGCGATTTGCTTTCATTTTGTCCTGCAGACTTTGAGCAAAAATTTTGGTAGCTCATTTCATCAACAGGATAATTATCTGTATGTTTTAACCACACTAACTTTTCTGCAATCAAAATATGTTGTTTTAGGTAAAATAAAAGTATATTCCAAATTTGACAACTAGACTACTTTGTTAATATATATTTCCAACTGATTTATTGTACATTGTCAGTTTTTCCACATCCTGCTAGTTTCTCATCTGTCAATATGTTTTGCTTTATTACTTTCACTCCTGATATAAAGAACTTTTTAAGTCATTCTTCAATATTTACTAAGCTGACATAACTGTCTCCTTTATGTACCCTGTTAGACAGACCATGGTATTTGCATACTGCTCTCTAGAGAGGACCTTGTTTTGCTGAACTGAGATAAAAGCTCAATTGTGTTCTCACAATCATTAATAACACTCCTTTGTTCATCTCCTCAAAATGATGTGTCTTGTCCATTCCCTGTTTCTGCTGATATTCTGGATTTTGGGTAAGACTAGAGAGAGATAAAAGTAGATAATGAAAAAGAGGGTGAGCTCTGGATACCAATGTTCTCCTTGATTAACATGTAATGTTTAGTTATGAGACAATTAGAAATTCAAGATAAAATATCTGTGTTAGGATAAAGATTCTGACTTATATTGGATGGGGTGGTTAATACTATGACCGTTAGATCATCCAAATTATGTGTGTGCTTGTCTGTGTGTGTGTATCCATACACACACACACACACACACATGAAAAGCATTTGATATATTTTTTTAAAAAAAATCACAAAAGATTCCAGAAACTCATTTGAAATTAATATCATAAAGAATTTCAGAAAGATTTTTTAGGAAATTTTCACATGATTTTTTTTGTTACTTTATTATAATTTCAGAGACCAGTGGTGATGTTGTGATGACCCAGACTCCACTCTCATTGTCAGTGAACATTGGGCAATCAGCCTCCATCTCTTGCCAGTCCAGTCAGAGCATCTTACACAGTGATGGAAAAACCTATTTGAATTGGTTCCTACAGAGGCCAGGCCAGCGTCCACAGCAACTAATTTATCAGGTGTCCAAACTTAGGTCTGGAGTCCCAGAGAGGTTCAGTGGGAGTGGGTCAGGGACAGATTTCACTCTTAAAATCAGCAAAGTGGAGCCTGAAGATTTGGGAGTTTATTACTGCATGCAAGGTTCATATGTTCCTCCCACAGTGATGTAGACCCTAACAAAAACCTCTTTGCATGAAAGATCACATCTGCAACGTACTGTTTGACTGTACAGTAGCATTTAGCTCTGTATCATTGTGAGACAAAGGCACAAGGGAACTTCATCAATAGTTTGGAGCACAAATGTCCAGTTAGACTCATCATGTTTAATTAGGGATTTGGCTAGACCTGAAATGACATCAATTTCTGGCTCTTCAAGCTATAACAGCCAGGGTATTGCCTTTGTACTAGAATCATCTTATCTTATTATTTATTTTAGTATTGAAAATTTTAAGCCTTTAAATTTTTATTAATTTTTTGAGCTTTAATTTTAAGGCTTTTCTTAAATGCTTTATGTGTGTTTGCTAAATTCTTATTCAGCTTTTTAAATGCTGAAATTTCCATGTCATGTTCTCTTTAATCTTTCTAAGTAGACTTGAGAGTATTATTTTAAATATCTTTTAGAAACATTGTATATATTTTATTATCATAGGGACATGAAACCAGAAAGTTGGTATATTCATTCAGAAATTTTATTTTAATGCCTTTGAAATTCTTTTTAAGACTTTAATTTAATATTTGTGAATCTGGCATGATTGTTGGCTCTAGAATTTTATTTATTTTTTTCTGTATTGAAAGAGTTTCTCCAGGGAATGTGCCTAGGACTTAACTCAGATATTGTGGTTTTTTCCAATGGGTATAATTTTTTTTTATTGTAACCAAGATCATGATAGCCTGCAAGTGTCCCAGTGTCCTAAGTATTAGGAATCTCAGGTTTTATCTTCCTATTGGTATATGATTTTTTTGGTCCAGTCTGGTGTGTTACTTGCTTTCCTTGCAAACCAGAACTGAGACAGTGTATCAGAGTTCCTACAGCCTTTTCAAGTTTCTTCATTGTTTCTCAATGTGTGGAGCTTCCATATTCCTCTGTATCTTAGAGTGGGCAGTGTATTACTCATGTAACTGTCACTTTGGTAAAAGAGGACACATTATGGAGTAGGTACCTTCTAAGAAGATGTAAAGTGTGAGAACTCTGCATTAGCACCTTACTGTACCTGAGAAGGAAGACTCATCAGCAACAACGAATACTGAAGTAGATGAAAGAATTGATATAGGCCTCACTTATATATTCTTACAGATACAGAAGAGGAATTTGCTTTCAAAATTGATCTCATGTTTCATGGGTTAGTAGACACATGATACTTCATATTTTCACAAAGATATTCAATATCCTTAAATACCTCAGTATCTTCATAATTTATAATTTGCTCCTAGTAGCCTTTTCAAATACTCTGGTTGAACAATATTTATTCTTTGTCCTGGATTGAGTACTTTAAGTAATAGTAAAGAGGGGAGCAATGACTGTAATGGAGATCTCCAGGAGCCTTTGATGATGTTCTCTTTGCTACCTTGAATCAATACATCTCCAGCTGTCTATCTGTCTATCTATCTATCTATCTATCTTTCTTTCTATCTATCTATCGATCTATCTATCGGTCATCTATCTATCATCTGTCTGTTTGTCCATCATCAATGATCTTCTTGCCTATTTATCATCTAACTTTTAGTCTGTTTGTTGCCTCCGCACATTTCTGTGAGTTCCCACATCTGATTCAGGCGCGCGCTTTCCTGACTCGAGCCCACGAGAGTGGACGACTGTCCTAAAGGTTGAAGGACACAGACACAAAGAGACCTTGTTCATTCACCAAAGAGTAAATGACCACTTTATTAAACTGAAGTCGGGTATATATAGTAGTGGGCAAGAGGGCAAAAGGGCACGGCCCCCTCCCATCAGGAGCAGTGGAATAGGATGACAGGTGCCCGGTGCCCAAGGCCAGAAGCAGCTGGGGGAGGCAGGCGTGGAAGGCATATAGGGCCCAAGCCTGGAACCTTGTTCACAGGTGGAATTACCATAACAAAAGAGAGCCAAGTTCTTTCTAAGCTATACCCTCAGGCCAGTGCAGAGCAGAGAGGCCAGGGAGCCAGAGGTCAAATAGCCCTGCAAATCACCACGAAGAAAAGGGGGAAAGACCTGGGTATCTACATCTGTTATCTATTTAATGTCTATGATCTCTGTCTCCCTGTAGCTGTCTTTTGCTTGACAATTACACACATGTATGCCAATTTAAATTTTTTAATTTAATCTCTTTCCAATAATGCAGACACCCTTCTACTTCCCAACTTGTCTTTCTCCTACTTTCATGTCTTATCTTTTATGTAGTTATCATCCAGAAAATAATGGACCCTTATAATTATTACCTTAATGACAGACTGGTCCTTCTTCAGGAAGTAATTTTTTAAAGAAAAAAAAAACAGGCCATGTCATTTATTTAAAGATTTTTCTGTATCTCTCTACCTGTCTCTATCCCTTCCTCCATTCTTTCCTCCTCTTTATTATGAATTTTGAATAAATATTCTCTTCCCCTTAAATATTTCTGCTGATTAATGCTTAAATATGTGTTTCTGTTCATTAATGAAAGTTGATAGCATTCCAATATGTAGATTTTTCAATCAATGCTTTCAGTGCACATCAGATCCCACAAAATAATATCACTCCTGCTCTGGCTCAAGGGTAAAGACTGAACAGCAACTCCAGAGCTTGAAAAAGCTCCTTTTGGTTCCAGAAAAAAAAATAATTAATCAAACAAAAATTAACCAGGCTCCAAACCACCACTTCAAGTATGAATCCCAGGCCATCCTTGTATCCCCTCTAGTTTCAGTGGCAGGATGCAGCCTGAATATTATGCAAATTACAACTTTCAACTAAGAACCATTTTACCTCTCAAAGTAATACAGATCAAATCATAAATCACCTAGGGTATCATAAGTGTGAGGATAAACTGCCCAACTGATTCTTGTTGTGCCCCCACCTAAATGAGAATCATTTTTCAGACTCACTTATGCTTTCCATTTATAAGGGTATTTAAAGTAAAGAATCCTAGGAGGTTATCCTGCAGTTAAACTCTCTTTATTTCATATTATCACTAAAATTATAGATCTAATAGTACCTCTCCTGGCTTGATGAACACTTTTCCTCTCTCGGTGGAACACCTCAGAACCAAAGGTATCCTGATCTGGATTCAAACAGCCAGGGGAAAACTATTTTCAGCACTTCAGTTGGAAAAGTATTTTGTAAGGAAAATGGGCATGGATATCTGGATAACTATTGGAAAAAATAAAGCATCTTATAATCTTCATGGATCATTATAGCTGAATTAAGGGACAATTAATAAATTCAGTTCTTTCAGGTATAGAATGATCATGGAATTTCAGGATGAAGAACAAATATCTTTTAGTAAGAGAAGCTGAATCAAAGATTCTATTTAAGAAGACAGTTAAGCTTAGTTACAAATTGAAAATTCATTAAGAATTCTAAAAAATGGTTAATTTTATTTCATACACTGAGGAAGGGTCTAGAATCAGTGTGGACTTGTGAGGTATTGTAGCAGTGGGTGAATAATATTAAAATATAATGTATGAAATTCTCAAATATTTAAAAAATATTTTAAATAAATATGAAAACAGTTCCTTTAAAATGCAAATACATTTTTAGTCAAGAGTCTAAGGTCTTATGATTAATGACTGCTAAACACACATTTTCAAAAAAGACATAGTTTGTCTGATAATGTATGTAGGAGCATATGGTTGCATGTATACATTACAGATGTGACAGATTGAATCTAATTGTTCCCTTTCCCCATAAGCTCAAAGGAAGTGACACTATTTGGAGGTGTGGCCTTGTTGAAGTATGTGTGGCTTTATTGGAGAACATTGATCATGGTGGGGTCAGGATTTGAGGTCTTCTATGCTCAAGTTACTTATAATTCGCTCCCCTTATTGCTGCCTGCAGATCAGGTCTCTTAGTTAGGCTTTTTTGTTGCTCTTAAGAGAAACTATGACCAGAGCAACTCTTGTAACTGGAACATTTTAATGGGACTTACAGTTTCAGGTTTTCAATCCATTATTATCATGCCAGGGATCATGGAGGTATCCAGGTACATGTAATACTAAGGAAATAGTTAATATCCACATCTTGAAGGCAATTGAAAGTCAACTTAGTGGTATCCTGAACATAGGAAATTTCCAAGCTTTTCAGCACAGTGAGACTCTTTTTTGAACATGGCCATAAATTCTCCAACAAAGACACTTCTCCAGTTAGTGCCATTGTTTATATTATTTGATCTTATTACATTAAAAAATATTACAGAGTAAAATGTTAATCCTTCCAATATTTTCATGTTGAGTAAGTAATCTCTTACAATAAAAATCTTTTGTGTTCTTATGACTAACATGAGCCATCCAAGACAGCTAAAAGAAAATAAAGCTAAGTAAAAAAAAATCCAAATAACTTTCAAATTTCTTGCTGTGTGAGTAGTGACTAATTTATGGGAAAGAGTTAGAACTGAAAACAAGAAATGTGTGGAACATGAAGTGTTCATCATTCTATAAGCAAAACTTTAGCTGTCATGGTCCAAGATAGCTGCATATTTAAGTAGATTTTATGAGCATTTACATCACAAATGTTTGTCAATATGTGAAGCACTTAGAATCCTGTTGGAATCTGAGAAGTTTGACTGAGAGTTAATGAAGTTCTATGTGTCCCTGCTCTCCAAGAACATGTGTAGCTGCTCCCACTTTGAGGATCTGCCACCACAGCAGGACATATTTTAGATTGTGACAGCACTGCTCTAGATGGTTTATCACTCAAGGAACCTGTTTTGCCCAGGACATTGCTGTGCTTTCATATAATAAATGCCACTTAACTAACATATTATGGGATTCAACCTAAATTGAGGAACATATTAAGTTGTTCCACTGTCCTGTAGGAATCTGAATACCATGAAGCAATCCTGCCCTTTAAGAAGTGGAAACACAATTTTCCTACCTCATAGTTTCATTTTTGTGAGTATAATATATAATATAATTTGAATCATAAGGCAATGAAGTATTCAGAATGGTTTCTCTAGGGAATATATTTTTACATTCCCTCTATCAATTTTCAGAAAAAAATATTTTATT